TGCGAGGCGGAAGGTGCGCGAGGGGAAGAAGGGAGGAAACGGGGAGGGGAAGAAAAGAGGAGGGAGGGGGGAAGCGGGAAGGGGGGGGGGGGGGGGGTCTCTCTACCTCTGTCCAGGCGGTGAGGGCGGAGACGAGGGGCGCGGGCGGCATGAGCGGCTGCGCGGGCGGGAGCGGCGCGGTCCGGCGCTGCTCGAGGTGCTGCAGCTCCGTGGCGAGGTCGGCGCGGGCGGACACTCGCGCGGAGATCGCGTCGATGACCTGCTCGAAGCGGCGCAGGGCGGGTTAGGGTTAGGGTTAGGGTTAGGGTTAGGGTTAGGGTTAGGTTTCGATGACCTGCTCGAAGCGGCGCAGGGCGGGTGAGGGTTAGGGTTAGGGTGAGGGTTAGGGTTAGGGTTAGGGTTCGATGACCTGCTCGAAGCGGCGCAGGGCGGGCAGCGCGTGCGCAGACACGGCGCCGGACGGGAGGTCCGAGCCAAGCTCCTGCGCCTGGGACGCACTCAAGAGGGGAGGGGTGAGGCTAGCTGGACGGTGAAGAGGCGGCAGGCTCCGAGCTCGAGCTGCTTCACCCAGCGGAAAGGGACGGAGGGAAGCAGCGCCACGAGCGCCTCGTCCGGCGCCAGGCCGGAGGGGAGGGTGGCGGGCGGGAGGTCGGCGCCGGAGTCGAGGTCGAAAAGGTTGACGAGGAGGGAGGAGGGCCTGGTTGACGGAGGAGGAGGGGGGTGGCTCGGTTCGTTCCGCGCGGCCGGGACAAAGTCTCGAGAGGGGGGAGCAAGGCCTGTCGATCAGCTGCGCCGCGAGGAGTCCCGCGGAGGCGAGGCAGCAGAACTGCAGCTGCAGCTCCGCCCCTCCCTCCGCGACTTCTCCGTCGTCCGCAGCCTCGCCCTCCTCCGCCTACCCCGCCAGCAGCCCACTCCCTCGTGAGGAGGCTGCGCGTGTGACGAGGCTCCCCCCCCCCCCCCCCCCTCCCCCCCTATCCCCTATCCCCTCCCCTCCTACCACCCCTCCCCCCTCGCGCCTCTCCGTCGCCGTCTGCCTCGCCCCTCCCCGCCGCCTCCCGAGCAGCCGGCCGGAAAGTCACCCTCACGCGCAGCGGGTGCAGCCGACTCGCCTCGTCCTCCTCGGCCTCCTCGTCGCCCTCCTCCTTCTCGTCCGCCTCCTTCGCGCCGCCGCCCCCCGCCCCGCCGCTCGCCGGGGCGGCGCCGGGCCCTTCCTCGGCCGAGGCGGCGCTCGAGACCTGCAGGAAGGGGCAGGGAAGGGTCGGAGAAGTCTCGCGGACACTTCCTCCGGCGGAGGCGGCGGCGAGGCTCACTCGAGATATGGGGAGATGTGGGGGAGATATGGGGGAGGTTTATATCGGCGGCGAGGCTCACTCGCTGCCGCTTGGCGCGGCGCGGAGATGGAGAGGCGAGGGCGGTGCCTGCGGGCGGGGCGGGAGAGTGCGGTGCGGCCGGGCGGCGGCGCGGGTGTCGGCAGGCGGTGTTGGAGAGCTCAGAGAGAGATGTTCAGAGAGGGCGGTGGCGAGGGAAAGGGGTGCCGGTGTGGTGGTGTAGCCCCCCCCCCCCCCCC